TAGATTGTAGCGCCCCGTTCGAATATTAGATTTTTATGAGTTTATTTAAATTAATGGTATTTTGTTTTAATATTTATATATTCCTTCATTTTGTGATTATATATTATATTACTATATGGATATTATAATTATATAGCTCGGTCAATTTTATTTTACCAATTGTCGTTTGAATTTTTATTTAATCGCGTATGCCAAATTGTTGTCCGTTTTAATTTATTTTCGAACCGTTGCGACCTGAGCCACCTTAGCCTTCTTTCTCACAAATTCATGTCCTAATCGTGTCTAAGTAGCTGGAGTTAGGAGAATTAAGCTTTAGCAAAAGCCTAGTCAATCCAAGTTAGTATATTTAATCAAGTTATTATTTATTTTATTCCTAAGACTAGCATGTGCTTGCATGGGTTACTCTTATGCTTGTAAGATCTTGTCTCCTACTCCTCACATGATTTAAACATACCATATATCAGCCTTAGTGTTTCAACCACTCTTCCACATGCAATATTCTAACCCATGTTCATTTGATGTGAGGTAGTCAACTAATGTCCCCCTCATGCTCCTAAGTTTTTATTATTTTTTTTTTTTTTACACCACTTTGTGGCCTATTAAGCCTCTCACCAGGCATTTCTAATGCCATTTTCTCAGCCTTTCCTCCATCAAAGATTTAGAAAATTCGTCCTTAAACTCTTCCTCAAAAGCAGAAATCGAGAGTGAACTATTGTGCTATTGGGTGCATGTTTGATTTGTTCTTGAGTTCAACCCAACTATAATTCCTAGTACTAGCAAGTTTGCATTCTTCTCTCATCCTACACTCATCAAGGAAGAGATTAGTATCAACAAGTTCAAGGATACAAGCTAAAAGGCCCCAGCTATACGAGTTCAAACAACAACCGAGAGCACCGAGCAACACTTCTTTCATTTCTCCTCATCATTTTTCATTTTCTTGAAGGAGGTAAGTTGCCTCTGTTATGGCATTAAGGAATTATTTTATGAAAATGTGTTCTATATATGAATTGTAGTTCATTTTGTTATCTTTCTCTAGCCTTTGGAATTTCATGAATCCGATTTATATCGAATAAATTATGATTTTCAAAACATCGTCGCGCAATCAGTTTTTATAAAATCCCGGCAGCTTGTGTGCACTTAATGTGTGATCTATTTATCATGTCTAAAAATGCTCAACTGAACAAATGACCATCATAGAAGTTGTAGATATCTTTCTCAGCTTTCTAATGAGGTAAAGATACATGTTGATATGAGCTCTGTAACGTTAGTTGGAGTTAATTTACTAAGGTGTTGTTTGTAGCATGACCTTATTCCTGTCAGATTTCATAAACCGTATGTTTTGTGTTTAAACTCATCGATGATATTGTTATCTGTCAATATTGTCTCTTGATAGATTGTATCTAATCAAGTTAGAGATCTGTTAGTTTTTGAATCAAGTCATTTAGAATTGATTTGAATTTCTTATGAATTTGTGAAGTTGTACATGCATGCTGTTTTTATATATCCGGGCAGGTTTGGTGATTAAGATGTTAGGCTGTTTTTGATGATCCTAGTATGGCTATATGAAAATGTAATCATCATGAAACTAGTAGTACATGTTATAATCTTTCACAAAAAGTTTAAATCATGCAATTTAGAGTTTTAGTTGATTTTATATAATTTTTCTAAGTTGGGTTTATGTCCAAAATTTTGATGCAGTGGCTGTGTATATACTCAAAATGTATGTTCTGAAATGAGGCCTATAACGTGATTATTTGCAAACGTGGTCTTCAGTAAAGATGTAGAAATTTGAGTTAGCTATCACATGGTTTTTGAATCTCATTAAAAACGTGTCTGTAGCTCCGGTTAGCTAGTAAATACTCATGTCTGGTCGGTTACAAGTTCTCGACTTTTGACTGCTACTCAGTTTTGATGTTTGATAATTTATTTTCTAGTAAACGACCTTATTTACTTTTCATGTCTTCATAAGAATTGTATATGCATACCTTAGGATTACAGTGCAACTTGAATCATATTCATCCGAGTTATGTACTGAAAGTTATGTTGATTTTCAAAACGTTGCCCGGGTTAAATTTTGAAAAACGTATGTGGTACTATCGAAAATGATATTTTCTTGATTAAATGCTTATGTGAGCATAATTGGACTAAGTGATTATTATGATTAGTTAGTCATGGGTTGAATAGTCATTTATAGGACTATTTTAATAAATGTAGGTGATTGACGAGCCGAGCTTACCGCGTAACCGTTATTGTTGTGCTTTCGCTTGTTATCATCCAGGTGGGTTTACTCATAAAATTGTCTATGCCATACGTGTTGTTTAATGTTTAGTTGGTATGACCAATGTATGAATGTGAACCATGTGGCCTACCGATGTGAGCTGTTACGGCCATCGGTACGGTTGTCCCCGTCGAGTTACGGTACGGTTGCCCTTGCGAGGCAAGTCTCTTTAAGACCTAATGAAAGGCCGTGTCCGTTACAGTGGCACGCACTCCCGTCATTAGGGTTTATGCATCCTCTTTCCGCGGCTAATGATAGATGTGCACATGAGTTAGTTATTGTTGTGATTATTAGGAGATGAGACATGATGATGATTGATTTATATTCATGCTGTGAGCATACCATCTTTACATGTTATTATGTGCATAGTAGTGAGCACTACTTTATCAT